AGAGAATGTGAGAAAGCACCCCTCATGGGGATGGTCATGCCATAATGCCTTCTCCTCCATTTCTCCTTTTGGGGTTTGGAGCATGCATGCACGTGTGTCCAGTGTGTTCTTCAGCCCACTGGTTCGGACTTGAATTGCACTGTGAGTCATGTGGGATCCAGCTTCCTTAACTGCTATACCACAAGCTGGCCTAAGAATCCCTGAAGTTTTGTAGAGCACCTGAAAGGAACGGGTATGTTTATGATGCCGAGCAAGCAAATCATGCAGTGGTGGCTTGAAATCTCATTTTGTCAAATGATTGCTTGGGAACCTGGAATTTAAACTTGCATGCTCTCCTAGAAGTTAAAGCACCCCACCTCTCCCCCACTCTCCACTTTCCACTTTTTCTCTTGTTCTGACATAGAAATACAAAATGACTTGACTAATCCAGCCAGCTGAATTTCTCCTATAGGCTTAAGTCCAAGCCAGGACCTCCATCATCCCCAGACAGTGATAAAGATGATTAGCTTGTTACCCAAATACTAAAGCAAACTGCCCAGTCCTTGTCGAATTCCTTACCTCTTATATAAACTCTGTACTTGGGCCCTTTCATTGCGGACATATCTAGCTAGAACATCTTTCTTTCACTGCCCGTCGCCAAGAAAGGCTGCACCCACCTGTACTTTTCCTTCATAAATACTTTAAACTCATCCCTCTGGCATTTAGTGCTTCTTTCTTTGGAATCCCAACGGGCCACATCTTGGAATGGTTTAGGGCACTCTGTTATGGTTTTTCCCCCTGCTACTGATTTTAGGGTGATTTGGATACCTGAGCCAGAAAGAAAACCATGTTCTTCTGGGGATACACCACCCACCGAGTAGGTCCAGAGGTTTTTGCTGGCATTTGGGGGATGCACGCAGCTTGGAGAAAGCAGGTAGAGATCTAGAAGGTGACTAGGGATTTGTCCTGTGACATTGTGGCTGCTCTGCTCTGCTTATGCTCCCATGCCCACACTTCTACGTAACATTCAAGAGAATATATTTTGGGAGATTTGAGACTCTCTATCTGTTACTATCCAAGCAACTGTGGCAGTCCTTGATTCAGGTATATGTGCAAAGGTTTGCAGGTGAATTTTCTAGGACAGTGAGCCGCACCCAGTTACTGGCTTTCTGTAATCAAGTTGTAGGAAAACTTTAGCAATCATTAATGACTTCTCTGGCTGGTTATATAATTTTCTGAGTACTAAGTATAATCTAACAAAAATCTTGATTTAAAAAAAAAACCCAACTTTGTACTCTGTTACAAGTAACACATAATCGTTTCAGAGAATACAGATAATAAAAAAAGTGAGATGTGGTCCTCCTACTAAATGGTAAGCGCAATTAAAATTTTGATATATTTCCTTCTGGAATATCATATTTTAATAAGCTTCCAATAAAAAATATATTATGTTGGGGCCGGCAGGTGGCATGGTGGTTAAGGCACTGGACTTCCACATGGCCAACTGCAGTTCAAGTCCCAGACCTGGCGATTTGCTTTCTCACTTTCCCTTTCTCTCTGTTTCTCTCTCTCTAGTCAAACTTAAAAAATAAATAATAATAACAAGATAAATAATTCTTAAAAAAATATATATTATGTTTATATGAGAAATTTTTCTTCCTTCTTTTACTTCAACTTAGGGACAATTATGGTGTTTCTTTTTTTTTTTTTTTAGAGTTATTTAATTTTATTTATGATTTTTTTTTTTTTTTTAATTTGACCAGAGAGAGAAACTGAGAAAGCAAGCCACCAGGTCTAGGACTTGAACCATGAATAGCCATGTGGGAATCCAGAAATTTCACCACATGCCTCCTGTCAGCCCCAAGATGTTTCTTTAAAAAAGTATAAAACTGTTGCCTATTAACAACAGACTGAGAAACATAATAAATTAGCTTTGTTATTTAAACCCGTATTCTAGCAAGTGGCATCCTTTTTTACTTACATGTTTTAAAGAAGATTATGTTTTTAAAAAAGAACTTTATATTGCTCCACAGAGCAAAGTCCACTGCATTGATTAGTATTTTAGTTCGATCCTTAACTGAATAACAACATTTCTGTCCTCCGAATTTCAGTCCACGATTGTTTCTACGTTGCCTTCTTGCGTATCTGTGAGACTTTCATCTTCAGAGAGAGATATTCAACCAGAGTCACATTGCTTAGATAGGAGTCATGTGGGTGACTGGTTAAACAGCCAGCCTGGTCACACAGCTGCAGAATACTTAGTGTTCTTAATATAGTCAGAATGTTATCTACATTGCGAACCCAGCTTATGAAAATATAAGGTGAGATAGACAGATAGGCTTATATTAAAAAAAAAAAAAAAAAGGAAATATGGGGCCAGCAGGTGGTGTGGTGTTGCGGTGCTGGGCTCCCACATGGCTGACTGAGGTTCAAGTTCCAGACTAGTGGCTTGGAAATTATACTGGCTGTGTGTGTGTGCTTGCCCAAGGTCTGAGAGGAGAGTGGATGAGAGGGAGTGTGGCATGGTCACAAACCCAGGGGGGCAGTTTCTCACTTTCCCTCTCTCTGTCTCTCTCCAGTGAGCATATGCATCCTATAGCAAAAGTCTAAAAAAAAAAGAAAGAAAGAAAGGAAAGGAAATGTTATAATCCAAAATACCCACAGTTAGTTACTCTAGATGATACTTATGGGAGATTATTATTTTTCTTCAAGTTCATATTTAAGATTTTTACTTCAATAAGCATATATTACATTTTGATATATTATTTTATAATTGAAATTTATTTTATGGCAATAGCATAATTTTTTTTTTTGAGAGGTTTTTTCCCTATAGGGTGCGTGCACTCGCCAGACAGACAGAGAGACAGAAAGCGAGAAATCACCCCCAGGGGGGATGGTCACGCCGCAATCCCTTCTCCTCCATTCTCCTCTCAGGATCTTTGGCACGCACGCACACGTGCCCGGCGTGAGTTTTAAGCCACCGGGTCCAGGACACGAACCGTGGTCGACTACGCGGGAGTCCAGCGACATAGCCATTACGCTAACTTCTTGTTCCTGCAATAGCATAGTATTCATTGATCAAAAACAAAATGATACTTCAATAAAGGAAACTATTTCCAGTGTGATCTTTCTTTCAATCTCTTTCCTCATTTAAAACATTCATCAAACTAAGTGTTACATTGTTTCCTCTCATCTTTGAGAGGCTGTTTTTTTGTTTGTTTGTTTTTGAGAGAGGTTTTTTGCTATAGGGTGCTTGGGCTCGCAGGAGAGACAGAGAAAGACAGAAAGTAAGAAATCACACACACACACCCCCCCCCCCCATGGGGATAGCCATACTGCAGTCCCTTCTCCATTCTCCTCTTGGAATCTTGGGCACACACACGCGCGCCCTGCGTGATTTTAAGCTACCAGGTCCGAGAATTTACCCGTGATCCTCCATATAGCTTCTAGCGTCACAAAGCATTGTGTTAAAGCCGCCTCGCCATGGCTGGGCCCCCTGGACCACTTCTATGTACACAGAAGCACAAAGAAATCCACTGGGCTAGCTAATCAGGAGAGCGCTTCCTCCTCTAAAATTCTAGGGTTGCCATCTGGGTTTTGTGGTTCTTGTGCTTTTTAGTTTGAGAAAAAGCAAGAAACAAAGAAATAAACATGTTATCTACAGACTCATTTGGGAACCAATCCACTGAGAACTGGCACACAGGTAATGTATGGGAGAAGGTGTGTGTGTGTATGTGTATGTGTGTGTTAGGGGTCTTAACTCCCCATAGCCTTCTTCCCCATAAAAATACGTGAAATTGTGACAACTCAGGATAATTTCTTTTATAATTTCTTTTTGCATTCACATTTAATTGTTGTACATCCCTATAGCACATGATATTTTATTTCAGAGGTATGCATGCAGTACATGAAAATCACATCAAGGATATTACCATAGGTATATCATTTTCATTGTAGAACTTTATATTCTTATGTCTGTTAAGTATTTCTTTCCTGAGTTCCTGTCTCCCACCCTCTCTGCTATCCACTTCCCTCCCCTACAGTCTCTGGTGTCTACACTTGTCTTTCCTACTGTCATATATATTCAGAGCTATCAATTTCTGCCATAGAGTATAGATCTTCAGTATATGTTGAGTGGGGACAGAGATACAGTGTTTGTCTTTCATAGTCTGGTTTACATTGCTTAGCATTAAATCTTCTATATTTATCCACTTCGTATCAAATAACAGTTCAATCTTCTATATTTATCCACTTCATATCAAATAACAGTTGCACTCTTCCTTATGGTTGACAAATATTCCAGAGTGTACATATGTCATGTTTTTTCAATGCAATCATCCATTCTTGGGCACTTAAGTTGATTCCATGTCTTAGCAATTGTGAATAATGCTGTAGTAAACATGAATGTGCAAGTGTCTTTCAGAATGCGTATCTTCCTATCATTTCTTTTCTTTTCTTTTTTTTTTTGGAGAGGTTTTTGCTATAGGGTGTGTGTGCTCACCAGAAAGACAGAGAGATAGAAAGAGAGAAATCACTCCCCAAGGAGGATGGCCATGCCGCAATCCCTTCTCCTCCATTCTCCTCTTGGGATCCTGGGCGCACACACACACGCGCCTGGCGTGAGTTTAAGCCACTGGGTCCAGGACTTGAACTGCAGTCAACTACATGGGACTCCTGCAACATAGCCATTACACTAACTGTTGGTCCCATCATTTCTTTAAAAATTTTTTTTCTGTCAGAATGAGAAAGCACACCACTCATGGAGAATGGCCACACTGCCATCTCTTCTCCTTTTCTCCCTCCTTTGTTGGAATTCTGCACACACGTACATGTAAACCTGGTGTGTTCCTCAAGCCACTGGGTCTGAGACTCAAACTGTGCAGTCAGCTAGGTGGGATCCAGCTGCCTTGACCACCATGTGATGGGCTGGCCCAGCTAAGGATAATTTCAAGTTATGAGATCTCAAATCTATAGCTAGCTAAAAGATAGAAGGGAAGACAAATACTCTAGATGAGAAACAGTTGAGATCTATCTTTTGAGTGCTTTTACTTGAGTTACATATTTCAGATAGAGAAAGGAAGGGGTCATGGCTAACAGACTAAGAGCCGGCATTCAGAAGGGGAGAGGAGGTCCGGTGGTTTAGAAACCAAATCAAGATGAGGTCCATGTGAAAGAAGCATTCATTCCTTTTTCTTCTCCATGCTATGCAGAAGAGGAACAAAAGAAGAAAAACAGTGGATTAGAAATGTAGAGTCATAGGGCCAGCAGGTGGCATGATGGTTAAGCGTGCTGGACTCTCACGTGGCCAACTGCAACTCAAGTCCCAGACCTGGCAGCTTGGTTTCTCACTTTCTCTCTCTCACCCTCTTTCTCTCTTGCTCTGTCCCTCTGTGGTCAAATTAAAATAAATAAATAAATTTAAATAAATAAACAAATTTAAATAAAATAATTCTCTTTTTTTGATAGCTTTTTTTGCTATAGGGCGTGTGCACTCACCAGAAAGACAGAGAGAGACAGAGAGACAGAAAGTGAGAAATCATACCCTGGGGGGATGGCCACACTGCAATCCCTTCTCCTCCATTCTCTTGGGATCTTGGGCATGCACCCACACGCACCTGACATGAGTTTAAGCCACCAGGTCCGGGACTCGAACCATGGTTGACTACATGGGAATCCAGCAACATAGCCATTATGCCAACTGCTGGTCCCAGAACATAATTCTTTTTTAAAAAATAAGAAATGTAGAGTCATTACATCATCCAAGAAATTGTTGTTGCATGGAGTTTACGGTGGTCAAACAGGATTCATCTGGTCTCATGACTTATGATCCATAATCTTGGTTTCCAGTCCCAGAGCAAGGTAGTTTTATCTAACTTCAAGTTCAGGTGGGAGAAATGAACATAGGAATATTTCCCGTGTTTGGTTAGAGGTACCTTATGACAAGAGTATAGTAAGTCGCCTGTCTGGTTTGAGACAATATTTGGACACTGTAAAGGACACTGTAAAGCCATATACAACAAGGCATTGTTTTGTTTTGGATTGAGATAATACAGCTGGAAGAAACCCTAGATAACATCTAATCAAATTCTTTTATCTTCCTGAGTCCCATGTGGGCGCTGGGGCATATACAGCAGGGCGTGTAAGGTCAAGCATGTTTATTGCCCAAGAACATACACCAAGCATGCCCAGGAACATACATCAGTTCTCATTCTAAGGTCAGACAAACCCTGTTTGAAGCCTTGCTCTGCCACTTTAATTAGTTTATGAACTTAGGACTGGGGAGCACTTGACAGAAGTAAAGAGCTGAGTCACACTCAGGGAAGAGTTTGGCAGAGGGTCAGGCATTCCAGACAGAGGGATGATGTGTGTGTGTGTGTGGGGGGAGCGGTATGAGCTGGCAGACGAGCTGCATGAAGATGGATGGAACTGGAGCAGCACTGGCGGGGAGGGAAGAGAAACGAGACAGGAAGGCATTTGTCCTGCTTCTGGAAGAAGGAACTCTGCAGCCAGCTTCCCCTTCCCATTTCATTATTACTTTGTATCAACAACATAACCAAAGAAGGATGAGCTGCTGCAAACCCTAGAAAATGTGCTTGGTCAAGGAGTTTCCTATTTGTATAGTCCAGGAAGATAGATTAGGAAGAGCCTGGGATACCACCTGCCTCTTGATGCCCCTTTCAGCTGAGTTCTCTTCAGCCCAATGCCTAAGAAGACTCTCCTGAGCGCAAGGCCCTAGTTGGGGCTAAAAGCATTGATAATAGCTCCATTTCTATGTGCCTGGCATTATACATTTTTTCCTAATCGGTAGAGGGTGTGTGCACTCACTAGAGAGAGTCAGAGAGGGGGAGAAATCACCCCCCAGAGGGCCATGCTGTAATCCCTTCACCATTTCTCCATCCTGTCGGGATTTAGGTAGGGCATACATGCACAAGTGCCTTGCATATTTTTTTAAGATGGAGATTCTGACAGTGGTCAGCCATGTAGGATCCAGCTGCCTTAGCCACCAAGCTATGGGGCCTGCCCATCGCCTAGAATTATTCTAATTGATGGATGTATTGGTTAATTTAATCTTCACAAGAATCTTAGGAAGTAAGCACCATTATTTTTTTCAACTCTTCAAAACTTTTTATTCTAAGTATAATATACATACAGAAATACATATAACGTAATTGTACCGTTTGATGAATTTTCACAAAACATGCACATATGTAAGTAGCTTCCAGAATAATTACCAACATCTAAAAGGTCCGTCATGGCCCATTCCAGTCACTATTCCTCTCCTCAACCGCCCCCCTCGCAAATGACTATTTTTACTTTTTTTTGAAAGAGATTTTTGCTATAGGGTGCATGTGCTTGCTGGCGAGACAGAAACAGAAAGTGAAAAATCCGCGCCCCCCCCCTCCCCGGGGGGGGGGGGGGCCAGGCGGCACCCCCCATCCCCCCCGGGGTGGCCAGATCGCAATCCCTTCACCTCCATTCTCTCGGGATTTTGGGCATGCACGCACACACACCCAGCATGACTTCTAAGCTGCCAGGTCTGGAACTTGAACCGCAGTCGAGGGACAGAGTGAGAGGAGAGAGAGAGAGAGGAAAAAAAGAAAGCAAGGTGCCAGGTCTGGGACTTGAACTGCTTAGGCCTTGTGGGAGTCCAATGTCTTTAACCACCACTCCACCTGCCAGCCCCCACTATTCTTACTTTGAACAGCACAGTTTAGTTTGCTTGTCTTTATGTAGTATGTACTTGCATGTAGCTTCTTCCATTTATTAATATATTGCCTATGGTTAATTATAGGTCAGTTCATTCTGTCTCATTATGGTAAAATGAGACAGTAAAGCTGAAAGACTAATACATGAATACCTGCATAACCTTTACCTATAACACAGAGAACTATTATTACCTCCACTTTACAGATGAAGAAACTAAGTCAAAGAAAAATTGAGTAATTAGCCTAGGTCATGCTCAGTCATAAGACTGGGCAGATCACATAACTTCTCTGAGACTGTTTGCTAAGATGGGAGCAATAATACAAGCTGCCAAGTTTCTGTGATGCTGAACTATGAGCTACAGCTGAAGGTGCTTTGTGAGGAGTGCAGAGGTGATAGTCAAAGAGGAATTGTTACCAACTAGGGCTGCTAGGCCCCACCCCATATAGGTCCTAATTCACTAGGTCTGGGATAGGAGGCTGCATGTCTAAACTGGCAGCCCGGTGATGCTGATGTGCTAGCCATCAGACCACATGAAAAGGCACGTCTGTAACATAGTGGGTCTCGAACTTTAGAGACTATCAGAATCACCTGGACAATGTATTAGAAAGGATTGCTGGGCCCACTCCAAAGGTTCTGATTTACAAGGTATGGAATGGGTCCCGAGAATTTGTATTTCTAACAAGTTTCCTTGCAGTGCTAATGACATCTGACCAATGGGCTGACCAAGTCCCCCCAACCCCCCACCTTTTTGACAACCACTGCTGCAAAGCACTTACCCAAGTCAGTTATGAGCACTGATTATCTTGACAATCAAAGAGAATTTTTTTTTTTTGAGAGGTTTTTGCTATAGGGCGCATGCGCTCGCCAGACAGACAGAGAGAGACAGAGAGACAGAAAGCGAGAAATCACCCCCCAGGGGGGATGGTCACATCATACATGCACCCGGCGTGAGTTTAAGCCACCGGGTCTGGGACATGAACTGTGGTCGACTACGTGGGAGTCCAGCGACATAGCCATTATGCTAACTGCTGGTTCCCCTAGATATCACTCTTAATAAAAAAAATTCTGCGTATGCGTGCGGTGGCCATCCCCCCTGGGAGGTGATTTCTCACTTTCTGTCTCTCTGTCTCTCTCTGTCTGTCTGGTGAGCGCACTCACCCTATAGCGAACACATCTCCAAAAAAAAAAAAAGAGTGATATCTAGGATACTAAAAATCAGTTTTTATGAAAACTGGCAACTCACAAACTAAATTTAAATCATTTCAACCACTATTTATCAAATACCTGTTCAGTGCAGGCAGGCATTATTATGTGTGCTACGGGTTACAAAGAGAAAAAACTTTCTTGGTCTCAAAGGAAAAAAACAATATTGTGTTATGAAGGCAAGTATAAAAGTGTGCACAAAATACAGGCATGCAGGACCAGCAGACGGCGTAATGGTTACGTTGCTGGGCTCCCATGTAGTTGACTGCAGTTCAAGTCCTGGAGCCGGTGGCTTCAAACTTTTACTGGGCACATGTGCATGTGTGCCCAAGATCCTGAGGAGAGAATGAAGGGGAAGGGACTGTGGCATGGCCATCCTCCCTAAGGGGTGATTTCTTGCTTTTTGTCTCTCTGGTACACACACACCCTATAGCAAAAATCTCTCTCTCAAAACCAAACCAAACCAAACAAAACCTAAGTGCAGCACAGGTGTCTGAGTGCTGGAGTGCCTGTAAGGTAGTCAGGAGATCTTCCTGGGGTGGTGAGTTCTATTCCCAGTGAACTAGGCGGAGAAAACGGCATGAACAATGGAATCAGTTACCAGGATGTGTTTAAGAAACTGTAAGCAGTTAGGTGTGACTGGCACTTAAAAGTTTAAGATGGACAGAGTGCAGAGACTACCTAGAGAGGTAGGAGCCAGACCCTGGAGGCCTCAGGAGGCCATAAAATGAAGGTCAACCAAATCTTGGAGGTCACTAAATAAAGTCCTGAAAACGCTCAGAAATCTCAGATCAACCCAATCCATGGTAATGGCCTGGTAATTCCCAGAACCCCTAAACTGAACTGCTTTAATGGGGTTCAATATATCCTTTCCTGGGTGTGACACTTGCAGCTAGTTCAGCGTTCTCAAAGACTCATGATGCTGAATGAGAGAAGGGGTTATAGAATTTGTGTGCCTCCTCTTTTGTGGGTTTGGAGACTCTGGTCCTTGAACCCACTTCTTTGCAAGTAAACAAAGGCAAAAAGAAGACTGGTCCTGTTGTCTAGCAGTTAAGGGCGCCTAATCCCACATGGCTGGCCACGGTGTGAGTTTTGGCCCTGACAACTTGAAATAAATGTTGGGTGCGTGAGCCTGCAGTGCCCCAAATCCCTACCTGGAGGGAGGATGGAGAAAAGGAGGAGAAGGGATTGCAGCGTGACCACACCCCATAGGGGGGTGCTTTCTCCTTCTCCTTCTCCCTCCCTTTGGCCAGCCAACATAAAAACAAAAAAGAAAGGAAAAAAGACAAAGGAAGTTTCCTCACCATTAAAAAGAGGAAGTGACTCAGAAGTTTAAAACAAAAAAGGAAAATGCCAGGAGGCATTTTGTAGGTGAAAGGGCAAGAGGTTCCTGATGCAAAATAAAAGTGCAGATGAGGGAGAAAACTTTAGAGTAGGAGTGGATTAACAACAAGCAAACCAAACCTTTACTTACAGTATCAACAAAGCTAAACACCAAAAAGAAAAAGAAAAACAATTTGATGGTGGGGACCAGCAAGTGGCAGTGGTTAAGGTGCTGGACACTCCCACATGGCCAACTACGGTTTGAGTTCTGGACCTGGTGGCTTGCCTTCTCACTTTCTCTCTCTCTGCCTCCCTCTCTGTGTCTCTCTGGTCAAATAAAAATAAAAATAAATAAAATTAATTCTTAAAAAATAACTTGTTTAAAACACTGAATATGGCGACATAGAAAAAAAACTTTGTGGACTTCAAAAACACCGATTTTATTTAGTATTGTATTTCATGTTCAATTACATGGGGGAGTAGGGAAA